TTTGTCTCTATGTGGCCCTGTGATGGACTGGAGACCCGTCCAGGGTGCACCCCGCCCTTCTGCAGTTTTATTTCGAAAGATATGGCAACAGAAAAACTTGATCTGTAGTGAAATAGAGAGGCATTTATTGCTTTAAAGCAAACAAAAACCTTCAATGCACTGATGAGACACACATTAGAGGCACTGAGGGGTCCAGTGTCTTGCCCAGGGACTCTTCGGCATGTGACTGCTGGTGGAATTGAACCACCAACTCTTGCATTGAAGGACAACTGCTCTAACCACTCAGCCACACGTCCAGCCCTGTAGACATGCGCCTGTGTACGCTGACATATTGATAAAGAACAACAAAAAAGTAGAACGTGGTCTAAAGTAGAACACAGTGATCTTTTAAAAAAATTCCCCAAAGTAAAAGTAAAGCTATACTTACAAGTGTCAGGATTAATATTTGGATTATCGCTTGCTTTTAATTTCCACACGTCCTGTGTTTCCTCTTTTGCGCCTGCCATTAGTGACACTCCCACATGAGGAATGACTGCTGAGCAGGCTCCCACAGTAAATCTCTGTGACATCCTAACAACACCTTTATGCCTCTTATAGCTGCCGGAACAGTTATCTCCACCGGCACGCTGAGCTCAAATGCAAACTGCTTCAGATTTGTCAGCCTGCAGAAAAAAGCTTTTGTCACTGATCTGACATAATCCCTCATAAAACGTCTGCTCCGAGCGATCGTTTGTGTTTCTCTTTCCATTTGTTGTAGCCTGTTTGTTTGATGAGTGGACAGATAATGTCCCACCCTGTTGGTCCCATCTGCCACCCTAAAGTCCCCTGGGAGCCACAACCCTCCTCGGTCACATCACTGGAGCTGGAAAGTTTAGGAGGGATTGGAGCCCAGTCACCTCCTTCATGACACAGACACCTCCCTCCTTCTCTCCTTCCCTTCATGCTCAAAAGGAAACCTGCAGTCTGCTGGATGTTTGCCTGAGTGACAGGCTCCTCTCCAGCTGACAGTTTGATGGTGACATTTAAGCCGTTGGACTTTTTTTTTTTCTCCACCACGCGTGAAGCCATGAGAACCATGTAGCAATGCTGGAAACCTTATCTTTTCATTTATTTTTAGTGTTTATTGTAACTATATTGGGTGCTGGGCGATGGACTTTGACATGGGACGACGCCATGGAATCCTTCGCTGAAGAACAAGGTTTGCATCCTGAACCTTTTCATATATTTGACTCTTTTCTCTTCAGCCCCTTTTGTTCCAACCTGTTCCGACTCCTCTTTAAATAACCAACTTGCTGTTTTATTATAACATTTAAAAAGACTACTATTTAGGCGAAGCCGTTGGAGATAACTGCAAATAAGTAAGAACTGCAATTTTTAGATTTGAGGCGTTCAAGCATTCTTGAAAAACATGTATGTGTTGTTTCTTTTGTGTCTTTACAATTTTATGCAGAGGTGAAATAATGTTAATTCATTCAGAACATATATATTTAGGAGAAATGAGTTGATTAAAGTGCGTTGCAAGCGTAAAAGCATCCCCTCTCTGCCAGGATTGCATTCTACCTCAGATTAAAGAATAAACTTATAAACGGATTATTGCAAGAATGTTTCAATATTTGCCCCTGAACTGAGCCGTATAGCCTCCATGTTGCCGCTCTAATCTTCAAAAACCGACTGACTGACAGGACAATGAGAGCCTTTACTTCCACCGTTTTTTCATTTATTAACCCACAACTCCCTGTAAGTCTCTCTGAGACCTGTAGAGAAAGTTTAAAACTTTCCTGATGGGCTGTTAAATTATAAGAAAACGGGATTTGTAAGGCTGCTCAGGCCTGTCCCACACGTACACAGGTAGCTCAGGTATTACTTGTGGTTTAGCCTTCAGGACTATCAAAGACACTCCTCATGACGGAGCTGAACTGTCAAAACATGTCCAGGAAACCTGAAGACAGTTTGAAGTCGCATGCTGTACGGGCTGCTTTCACAGTGACCCCCCACCTGAGTGAAAACTGAAACACTGGGTGTTTACTGACCTCTACATTGTCTCTTTTCCAAACTGAAACCTTCAGAGTTGGAGTTTAAGAATGGAGGAAATGCCTCTCTCTGTAGGCTTTTCCTGCAGGAAGAAGCTGAACTCTGATCTAAAGTTGGAAAATGACGACAGGACGCGAACAGGAAGTCCAGATATGCCGCCCTCAGGGCTTCTTCGTGCTCTCAACATTGAAGCTTTATTTTGAACAACTTGATAACTTACATTTTAAATCTTTTCATGTGCCTAATTTTCTCATGACAGCTATGAAATCAGCAGATTTTAGGCCGCTCAGGCCTCTTTAGTCACTCTACAGACAGCGACGGCACGTGTACCGTCTGCTATCACATAAACACTCACCTGTCTGACAACTTTTTTCAATAAAAACTGATGTTTTTAGCTCTCGGCATCACGCAGCTGAGTCACAGCAGCGATTACAACAGTCAGACCTGAAGTCTGGTTTCAGCTGCGAGTATCAGGTGGGCGCTCGTCATTTCATCTCCAGCAAGTCGGTGCAGCTTGGGGTAGTCTCATAAAAATACCTGCGGCAGCACAGACGAACTGTTCAGCTCCTCAGTCTGAGACGCTCTGAATGAGTGAGCTGACTTCAGATGAGGTGGCGGTCAGTGAAAGGCTGATGGGTGCTAGAAGTGCGATGCTCTCTTTGGGTTTTCTGAGAAGATTGTGATTCAGTGTTTGTGGAGTGAAGAATGAGGACAGACAGTTCTGAGGTCGTGTTCTGCCACTGAATAATGTCACACCATCTGCACGTCACCGCTCAGTTTCAGCCTGAGTGCCACACGGTGGTACAAATGGGTCTTACAATTATTTAAAGAATTTTAAACCTGAACTTCGAAACCGAATTTGGCATAAAAATAGTCCGTTTTGATACTGACATAATTTTACCTTTAACTTTTTTACCCAAACAGATTTAATGTATTATTTTACAATGAAAGTGATCTGAAAGAAGAGCTTTATGTCTGTTAGCAAAATAAGTCCCAAACCACAGGATTGATTTTAATGACACTCGCAGAAAGTAATAATTGGAGGCAAATCCACAGCTTGTTTGTCTGAGTCAACTCATTTCAAAATGGCCACCGCAGCTAATCATCCTTAGGAAACACAAATTCCATTGAATATATCGAGCTAAAATTATATGTGGTAGTAGCTCGCTGGCGGGGTGGAGTAACAGAAATGAAATAGACTAAATTACAAAAAAAGTGGCACCACTTTACAATTAAAGGCTCCCCTTATAGATGGCTAATAAATAGTTTATAGATATGTTATTAATTCCTCTATAAACACTTTATAAATCATTAATAACTGCTAGAGAGACAAAACTGATCAGTTTGTTGCCGAATAGTGAGCCAAATCTATTCACCTATGTATTTCATCTAGAGTTGTTATATTAAACATTTCAGACAAAGTTACTACCTTGTAAACACAATAAGCATTTGTAAACCTATTTTTTTAGGATATAATATTAGTTGTAGATACTTATAATGCAGTGACAAAGTACAATATGATATGCTAAAAATTAGGTTTACAAATGCTTATTGTGCTTAAAAGGTAGTAACTCAGTCTGAAATGTTTAATATTACAACTCTAGGTGAAATATATGTGAACACTATTTGGCAAGAAACTGGTCAGGTTTGTCTCTGTCACCCTTAATTAATGCATAATAAACATATATAAATGATTTATAAAGTGTTTATAGAGGAATTAATAGTGTATCTATAAACTATGTATTAGCCATCTATAAGGGGAGCCTTATTGTAAAGTGGTACCCAAAAAGTGTTAGCAGCAAAACAAAGGTGATCAAACTAGTGCTAAATAGTAATTCAAGAAAGAAAAACATTTACAGTATCAAACATTAACTAGTCAAAGATTTAATAATTAAATAACAACATTTAATTCTCCCTCTGCTGACATGCAACATGGTCCAGTCTGTTCGACTGGTTTCCAGATGTGCTGCAGCTCAGGCTCTTTGCAGAGAGGAAGAGCAGCTCCGGCAGCATCTCCAAATGAACAACTCAAAGAATCGAAAAGTTCAATCATCGCAAATGACAAAAATAAACTGCAGCAAGATTTGACAAAGAATGTTAACTAAAAGTGTACACGCCAAATAGTTAGCCATGGCATCAAAAGTTGCTAAAGTGTGGAAATAAATATGTAAATGCCAAATTATTTAACTTTATTTTGAAAAAAACTTGAAAATATGCCAACATTTTACCACTACCTGAGTTTACTGTGTGGCTGCAGGTGCTGCTGGCACACAGACAATAAGCTAAAGTTTGGTTATATCAGCCGAGAGTGCTGTGGATCACATAACCAACTGAGATAACCAAGTCTGAAGACACCCGCAAAGTCCTGGTTCACTTACATCACTTTACTTCAGGAAGTCACTGATCGAAAAGTGCTTTTCTTCCTTCATCATCTTGCAATATCATGTAGAACTGCGCTTATTTTTTTATTTTAAGATTTGGTTTAAACTGCTGTAATTCTATACTTTTTCAAAAAAAAGATCATCTTAGTTTTAAACTTTGGCATGAAAAGTGCTGGGCGATATTTGTCCTTTACTGAATGTTAGGTATTGTGCGAGTCTATGTCAGAACATTAGCTCAGCTTTCTCCTCTTTTTAAATAAATTTTCTTTTCTGTTTGATCGTCGTTAATTTCACCGTTATGACCTAACCGAGTATAGATATAATACTATTTCTGCTACTGTTTGTTTTCTTTTGACTTTATTTAGTTTCTATAGCCTATCTAAAGGTGTTATGCCTCTTTAAAACTCCATGTTTTACATAACTTTACAAAACTATCGTCTCGATAGAAATAAGATGCTACAATAAGGGCTAAATGAAAAGTTTAAGAAGTTTAACCAAACTTCCCATTCTGAATTCTTGTATGTGTGTTCATTTTACAAAAGTGACCATAGCTGTGATGTGTGCTGGTCGTTTCAGGCCGTGCTTGTGATGGTGGACAGACTGGGGCCAGTCATGGAGCATGAGCTGAACTGCAGCTCTCAGTGTGACTCTCCACTGTGCTTCATCCAGTCTGGAGTCAGCAGGCAGGACGGCGTAGAGGTTCTGCAAAAGCTGTGCAGTCTTAGCTCGGTAAGCTTTCGCCAGTGGTGAAGAAAGTACTCAAACACTGTAATTAAGTAAAAGTACAAATCAACAGAGAAAAATGTACTCTAGTAAAAGTAGAAGTACCACATTAATGTTTTTACTTAAGTAAAACTAAATAAGTATTTGCTTTTAAAAACACAAAGTATTATCTGAATGTATTACTTAATGCAATGGTCTACAATATCATTAAGTTTGCCTATATGTATATTTTCTGTAATACGTTAATAGTGTTGAGCCATTTTAATGAACAATGCTGCAGATAATACATGTTTTTATTGTGTTTACTCTGTGACACAGTTCACACTTGGATTTGTGACTCTGTGCAGCAGAATTTCAGGGATGACCTGCAGAGTTAAATGACATTAAACAAAATAAGAAAGAGGAATGGTTTTACCTTTGAAAGTTTTTATTTAACACAAAGCAAAACCAATGTGTCATTTTAACTGCAGTAAACACATTTAAGTAAAAGTTGTCTGACAGAAAAAAAGAACATTAGACACATCTAGTTAAAATACTGTCCAGTCGACCTTGTAATGGGTCAATAATGAACAATGTTTTAATTTCCTGACACCATTTTCAAAACATGGACCCGAGTGTCGAACCATTTGGAGACATCTCTCGTCTCCTAACATCATGAACTGACACATTTTAATGTTGCAGCAAGAATTTCTTGTTCAAGTTCAGAAGAAGTTGGTTTTCAAAGTTTTTTTTTGAGTCCAGTCTGGCTCTTTTGGGGAGAGAGAATCTGTCCTACTGTACTGGATAGTCTTTCATTAGTCTTTCATTAGTCTTTCATTAGTCTTTCATTAGTCTTTCAATAAGATTCAGATGTTCTTTATTGTCATTCATTGTCCTTTATTGTCATGAGGCCATGAGTGGAGCGGATCTTCTGGCTGACTCTCCGCAGTGGAATCCATTTTGGGTGTGTTAGTGGTGCTGTGGGTGTGCCCAGCTCAATGATGTGTATATACTAGAATATATCCTGATGCATGCTCAATAATCCAGGTAGAAAAATCCAAAAAAGTTCAATCTGGTCCTCTGGACATTCAAAAAAATGCTGTGATTGCTAGTATCACTCAGCCCTCTGTGAATAGTAAACAGCCATCAGTGTGCTAATGATCCATTGTTAGGCTGATGGTCCTTCTTGAGCATGTGATCAGCTGGTTTTGGTTGTCAGCAGCAAAACTGGTTGATCCACTCTGAGAAGGTGCTATTTAAGAGACTGAGCTGAATACAGCACCTCAGACTGAGGAAGTCTCTTGGATGAGAGACGAAACGTTTCTAGATTTTTTTGCTTTGTTTTGTTTTTGTTTTTTTTTAATGTCCAGAGGACCAGATTGAACTTTTTTGGATACTAGAATATACATCATTGGTCCAGCTCTTCTTGAAAGCGGGTCTAACGTTACCTGTCCACTTTGCAGTGATTCAATGGACCAACTCCTCTCTCACCATTGGTTACTTTCAAACTAACAGACAAATAAAATAAAATAAAAACACAACATGAATACAATTTGTACCACAACATATTATAGAAATGTAGTGTAGTAGAAAGTACAGATATTTAATGTAAAATGTAGTGGCGTAAAAGTCGAAAGTACCCACGTTTAACTCTACTTAAGTAGTACAGATACATGAAAAATGTACTTAAGTAGACTAACAAAGTACTTGTACCTTGTTACATCCGCTCTCACGCAAGCATGTGCATCAGACATATCAGTATTACAGCAGACACACAGACATGCTACACATGGTTTATCTAATGTACCCAAAAGCCATTTGTTGTAGAGTATTTTTCACAGTACAGGCGAACATTCATTTCTCACTTCCACACAGTAATGAAAGCATTGGTGTAAAATGAGAGGATTGTTTTTCACCAATCTGGTCAACGATTACAATCTGAAACATTTGGCAATCAAGACAACTGGAACTTCATGTTCCTTAGAAATTATCTGAACAATTTTCTGGAGGCATTCACCCTGCTGATTTAGGACATAGTGATAGTTGTAAGGAAACACTGCTGTCATAAACCAGTGGCATACCATGATTATCTGAGGAGGGCGTTCAGCTTGGATGGCATGTTTTAACACCCAGCTGTGAAGACACTACAAAGTTTTAGTACAAATAAATCACTTTACTTTTAGTTTCCCAAGTTAGAAACTCACTAATCAAGAAGTGTTTTTCCTCCTTTTTAAGTGGGATAGTTCATGTTCCTTTAAGAACAAATACAATTCCAGTGCATCAAGTAAAACATCTGACTTATGTGTAATTTTCTTAACAATCACTAACAACAACTGGAACATAAAAGCCAACCCAATACTAAACAGAACAACCAACAGAGACAACCCATCTGAACACATGACTCGATAAAAGTCCACCCATTTACTGTATGTCCCAAAATTACCCAGCAGCCCCTGCAGCTCACGTAGCTTCTTACATGTTTCAATAACTCAGACTGAAATTAAACAGAAACCCACAGATCATGTTGTTTCTGTAGCATTTTAACATAGAATGAAACTAAATTACAAACATATATCTGAAAGTGATCAATGTAAATCTAAGTGGGATATTTCATGTTCCTTTAAGAACAAATATAATTCCAGTGCAGAATTATCATTTATTTACAGGTTGTATTGAATGCTTCACAGATCTTAACACACTCAAAAAAAAAAAAAAAAGATTATGGAGAGTTATTGTTTTTGTCCATATTTTTATTTATTTGTTTTGATGCAGTCTCAAAAACATGACTTTCCCTGATGAAGTTTAAAAATCTTCTAATTATTATTTATTTTTTTAAATTTTCTCATATTTCTTATGGGAAAATGTCCCAAAAACCCATTAGCACTTGCAAGACACCCAGTATCTGATATCCTGACCCTACTCTGAGCCAGAATCTGAGGTGTCGGCTGATGATCCACTCGGATGTCTCAGATTTTAACTTCACTGCAGCTTGAAGAAATGTGCCACGAGCCAATACCATCAGATGAACAAATGCAGCTTTAATGATTTTTGTCTATAATGAAATAAAACGGGCAGCTCCAAGAGGAAAATGTATTAATTTTCAGCCGGCTGGAAACAAATAAAAAGACTAGTAGAAGAAACAAATCATCCATGAGTAGCAATGTCAAAAGTCCACTTCAAAGATTGTGCAAAAGATTGTCTGGAAAACAAAAAGCCAACAAGCTAGCCACATTCACAAAGACAAAACATAGCAACAATTTACTGCTGGCATTGTGGCTATTTTTTTAGATTTGTAATCTAAAATTATGAAGGATAAGACAGTTGATGTGCTTTTGGTTGGGAAATAGATACTGGTTGCAGCAGCAGTCACGTGAATTTGTCACAAAATAATTCTGACACTGCTTGATATTTTTATGTTTTTGGTCACGAGAGAGCGGAATCAACTGGAGCTAAAACGGTTGCACAATATTCATTTACAAAAACAACATTTCTCTATGATGGATACAAACTGCTCTGCGAGTTCAAGCTCCTCCCATCGGGACGCAGATATTTGATTCCCAGATGTAAAACCAAGTGGTATGAAACCAGTTTTGTTCCTGCTGCCATAAGCTGCCAAAATGTGACTTAGCATAGCACCGGGCCATTTTTGAATCAGTTTTTAAATCATGTTTATTTTTTATACTTATTGTGTATCTATGTCAAGTTTCCTGTCTGACAAGAAAGATGACTCACCTCACTATAACCACATCTACCTAAGCGTATAAATAAAGTTGATTGATTGATTGATTGTGAAATGAACTTGGCTTAATACAGAAAATTCACCAGAACATCAATCAGAACGCCAACAGAACCATTTCTTCCTCTCTAAATAATACACAATCATATCAGCTATTCAGGTAATGAAAAATAAAGTGTTCTTCATGAAACCATAGCACCTTCTATTGGTTCATTATTGGTCCTCGTGCATGATCATTTTTGTGAAGGACACCAGTTTGCACCAATGCAACACAAACCGTTTCAATGTATGCTTTGACATCCTTCTTGGATTTTAACCTTTATGTCTTATTTACAGGGTTCCCAGCAACTCTGGAAATCTAAGAAAACCTGGAAAATGACTTTCACATTTCCAGACAGGGCAAACTCAGAGAATTCGAGAAAAACATAAACAGTTATGAAAACCTCTGGGAATTTGAACCCTGATCTGCTGATTAAAAGACGATCTTCCTGAGATTTTAATGAGCGCATGAATTAATGTTAATATTCTAGTATCGTTGAGTCCGTGTTCTGCTTCTACAATGTACAGACACATGTCCTTACTGATTGGTTATGGTGGCCTTTTAGTTTTAGATGTTGTACAAAATAATAAACTATTAGGAATGATTGATGTGTGCACTTACAGTGGGCTACAGTAGACTTACTGTCAACTCTGAATGTGACTGCCCGCCAACTAAAACACTAAATTCTGAGCATTTCCATGTAATTGAAATATCACCTGGAAATCCAAGATCAGGGAAAAATCAGGGAAAATTCAAGGAATTTTGTTTTCATGAAATGCTGGGATCCCTGATTTATGATTGCATATTTTAACTCAGTTTTTTATTTACTCAATGCTTACGACGATTGCTTGCTTGTTCTTTGTATGGTATGCACACACACCTGTTCCCTGTTTACTGTGATACTATTCCACACAAGGGGAGTACTGATTGCAAGAGGTCAAGTTAGGTAATGGGGGTGGACTGCTGAAGCTATGTTTAGCATCCCCTCTGACACAGATGCCTTTAAGAGAAGAGTTAGCAGAGTTCAACACCAGAAGGCGGCGAGCCAGAGGAAGTGTAACGTGACGTTCTGAAATAAAAACTTGAGCGGTGGAGACAAGGTGTTGGTAAACACAAACAAGTCCTTCCTCCCTTCATAGCACCACAAAAAAATTGAGGTAAGGTGTTGTTTTTTATGTTTTATGGTGTTAATTCATGCATGCTTTGACCTCGAGAGTGTGACAAAACTTGCTTCTAAAGAAAAGTAAAGTTTGTGTGTTGTAGCAATGACAACATATTGAAGCATTTTAAAAATCAGTTTTTCCTCCATTCCTTTTGTTTCTGGTTGATCTTAGTTAGCTTATAACAAACTGCTGATAAAATGAAATACTCTAATGAAATACTGAATAATACTACAATTAATACTGAAACACTGTGTTTGTTGCTCTTCGTGGATGTGGACGACCTATCGTGCACAAGTGTTTCTAGACCCTATAGAGTAAGACAAAAATACAAAGAGCTGAGCCAACTCGTTCCATAAAACCCCACCTGCTTTATTTCCTTCCCAGATATGGCCACTGTTGCCACCATCCTATCGAAGGAGCAGCTTCTTTGCCCCATCTGTTTGGACGTGTTCAACCAGCCTGTCTCAACTCCTTGCGGGCACAATTTCTGCAGGGACTGCATTCAGAGATACTGGCAGAGTGCCAGTCTGCCACAATGCCCCATGTGTAAACAGAAGTTGTACAAGAGGCCTGACCTTAAAGTTAACACCTTCATATCTGAGGTAGCCTCTCAGTTTAAGAAGTTCTCGGATGAGAAATACGACACCATGGACCAGCCACTATGCCATAAAGGTGAAGTGTCATGTGATGTGTGCGTTGGAAAAAAGGTGACAGCTTTTAAATCTTGTCTGGATTGTCTGGCTTCATTCTGCAAAACTCATCTGGAGCCCCATCTTGTTCTTGCCACGCTCAAGAACCACAGACTGGTTGTCGCCACGATGAGCATGCAGGACAGAGTCTGCAAGAAGCATGAGAGTCTTCTGGAGCTGTTTTGTCACACTGATCAGATGTTCGTGTGCCAAGTCTGCATCCAGAAAGACCACAAGGCCCACCTCACTGTTCACATAGAGAATGAAAGCAATAAAAGGAGAGCTCAGATTGGAAACTTAAATGCAGAAGTGCAAGGAATGATCCACGACCTTATGCAGAAAATCTGTGAGATCAAACAGCACATTCAGCTTAGCAAGAGAAACACGGAAAACGAGCTTGAGGAGAGTTTACAGATCTTCGACAAACTGCTCCAAGTTGTCCAGAGAGGTCAAGCCGAGGCAGCTGAGATGATCAAAGCAAGGCAGAGGCAAGTAGAAAGCAGAGACGGTGAGATTATAATGGAGCTGGAGCAAGAGATCGATCAGCTGAGGCACATAAACACTGAACTGGATCTGCTTTCAAGCACCAGCGATGATCTTTACCTTCTTCAGAGATTTCCAGCTTTTTCCACGACGCCAGCCGTCACTGACTGGTGCCGAACTTGGGGACAAAGTGTAGAATATGTGGGAACGATGAGGAGGGCGGTCAGGAGAGTTGCATGTCAGGTTGAGGAAATGGTAAAGGTTGAGGTGAAGAGGCTCTGCGAGTCTGAATTCAAGCGGGCAAAGTCCTGTGCCGTGGACGTGACTTTGGATGATGACACAGCTCATCCCAAACTGGTGCTGTCTGAAAACAAAAAGCAGGTCCATCATGGAGACGTGGCTGCTAGCTGCCTTGACACCCCAAAGAGATTTTACCCGTGTGTGAGTGTTTTGGCAAAGGAAGGTTTTTCCTTTGGAAGATTTTACTATGAAGTCCAGGTGAAAGGGAAGACAGAGTGGGACACTGGAGTAGCACTTGAATCTGTCAACAGAAAAGGAGGGAATATATTGAACCCTGAGAGAGGCTATTGGACCCTGGGGATGAGGAAGGGCATGAGCTACTGGGCACTCAACAGTACCCCTGTCTGCGTACCACTGGTAGAAAAGCTCCAGAAAGTCGGGGTGTATGTGGATGTAGAGGGTGGGCAAGTGTCCTTTTACAACACAGATACCCATTCTCATATCTACACATTCATTGGATACACTTTCAGTGAAAGACTTTTTCCGTACTTCAACCCACGGAGAAATCATGGCGGGGTCAACTCGGCCCCTCTTGTCATCTTGCATGTGAACATCTAAATTACCTGAACATTTGATCTCTTTGTGTTACTTTAGTAATGACTGGTGTTTTCTAAAAAAAAAATAGAGTTGCAAGTCTGTTTTGCGATGTTTGCTGTTTGCTCTAATAAAACATCCTCTGAGATGAATCTTTGTCCATCTATTTTTTTTGTTAGTTTGTGTCTTTGTCATAAGAAAAAGTGAGACTTCTGAACCCACATAACAGTAATCATACCATGCACACAAATGAGCTGCATTTAGATGTGATTTGAATAATCATGTCCCTGTGTGCAGTTGGCAGCGGAGCTCCCAAGGCGTTCATTATCTCCAGTGCTAAGAGCTGTCGTCTGGACGCTCCTATCCTGTGGCATTCTGTCGGCATTCTGCTTTCTGATTTTCACCCTGCGCTTCAAAAACAACAGGTAGAGCAAAACGTATAATGCCGCATTCAAGCTTGGATGCATGAAAAGTCCGTGGAGTTACACATATAGTGATATACCTGTTTTAAACGATAAAATAACAGGTAGTGGTTAAAGAAGAGCAAAGTACGTCCAGGTTAGCAATAACATTAAGAAATGTTAGGAGAAATGGTGTTAAGACATTCTTGAGAGTAAAGTGGGACACAGTATTTTGTAGCTTCTCAAAAAACACTGCCTTGTATGGAGAGATCTACGTAGAGCTATCAGGCCAACATCATGTTCCTGAGACAAATATTGTAGCAAAGATTAAACAGTAACTACATGTTACTTACAGGAAAATGTTTGTTTCCTTTCATCAGGATAGTGAAGATGTCCAGTCCCAACCTGAACATTCTGACTCTCTTTGGAAGTGTCCTCGCTTACGTCAGTGGTTATCTTTTTGCCATTGATGAACAAGCATACACACAAACTGGAACATCTATAGTTGTGCAGCAAGTAAGTTTCCACTACCCCCATATGCACCTCTGTTCAATTTATAATTGTGTTAGGTATGATGATGATGATGATGTACCCTGCAGGCTCGGACATGGACATTGTGTCTTGGAAGTACCCTGGTGTTTGGACCAATTTTGGGGAAGACGTGGAGACTCTACCGAGTGTTCACACAGCGAGTGCCTGATAAGCGAGTGGTAGGCATTCATGCTCTTTTGGTTTATACACTTGGTTTTAAATTATTTATTCCTACATTAACTGCTATACAGTTAGAGGCGCACATATTTATGGAGCCTCATGTACAACATTAGTACAAATAGAGCCCACATTGATGGAAGGAGAGCTAAAGACATTGTGTGGCTGAGCACTAATTCAATGCCTGATTGTCAACTTTGAGCAATGGTGACGGTATGTTTGAAGCTTTTTTGTAAGATATTGAATTTGGTAAACATCTTTAGACAATTTACATTTGTTAGCCCTTGCAGGTGTAACACCAGCACTGTGCTATGACATACTTTTAAAAGCTTCATGCCGTTACAGCTAATAATCCTCTGAACCGTAGATGAGGTTTTCACAAAGGGAACAGGCTTTAGCTTGATGTGTTTAGAGTGACAGACAGACAGACAGACAGACAGACAGACAGACAGACTGATAGACTAACAGACTGACCCACCGACAGACCGATAGACAGATAAATACAAAAATAGATACAAAGATAGATAGATAGATAGATAGATAGATAGATAGATAGATAGATAGA